AAGCCCTGCACCCTATGCTGGTCATTCACGGCTCAGGAAGGGGAATAGGTCTGGCATTTTACCTTGAGGGCTAAAGAACCGTCTCTCAGCACTTCGTGGAGTTTTGCTTGTGCTCAGCTGAAACAGCATTCGAATGACTAAGGCTAGCTCTATCAGCTTTGCGGGGTGGATGACACCTCCATCCGCACTGCAGTATTCCGCTGGCATCCGGGTTCTCTGAATTCTCAAATGACTTTGTGGAGCTGGATGGTGTCAACAGGGCCATCCACAGCTGGAGTTTTAGCTGCTTTGAAATTGCAGCAGTGTATGGCCAACAGTTACAGACCCTCCGCTTGGCACTTACACACCTATTTCATAAAATGAAGAGCAAGGATAATTTGAAGGACACGTGATCTCCCGCTTAACTCTTGCCCACAGCAAATTCAATATATTGCAATGGAAAAATATAATTACAGTATAATAAACATCTTAGACGTAGGATGCCAGTGGGTGCTTCAGCCAAACAAATAGTTTTCCGAGGACTGACTCGTCCCAAAGGCCCCGTTACATTTCACTAAAACATTTGATGAAGCTCCGAGCTTCCGTCCAGCTCTTTGCTTTCTCTTTCTAAGAGCTGACCGATGCCACAAGTCAGGCCCTGTCCAGTGTGAAAGGCTCGGGGTCACAAAGTGCCCACCTGCTAATTCACACAATAGGGAGCTCCATCAATGGCTTTTCTTTCGGAAAGTCATTGAGGGACACGCCAATTAATAGACTGCAGGCCGGCATGTTTTACCGCATTGGACGCTTTATGTGGGAGGTGAAAGGGGGGATGTTAGAGGCAATAAAACCTTAAATGATTAGATCACTTATTAGGACGGCTGTGGGGGGTGAATGGACTCGCTCAATTTGTTCACCATTTGGGCTGTGAATGGTTACAGACGCTCCCTGCTTGCATACAATATGGCCAGGGGAACAATAGGAGCTGCAATAAGGCTTGTTCTCACATAACAGAGAGGAGAAAAGGATTACACCGAAACAGGCCGCATCTTCCAGCCTGGGCCACTTGAGTCCACTTAAGGCGTACGCCTTGCCTAAACATGGACGCTGCCATTTTGCGGAATGACGCATGGAGTGCTCCGATTGGGTTTGGACACACCAGGCAAGGATGTGACGTTTGATTTCCCTACCGATTCCAGCAAATGAAGGAAATGCAAAAGCATAAACAGCAAAGCTTAACTGCTATGTTAATATTTAGAAAGTATACCATAATTAAAGGTTCAATGCCTTTTCCTTAGTAAAACAGGCCTCGGTGGGGGTGTGATAGGGAGGGAAAGACTAAATCAGTCAACTTTTCAGGCAGAGGTGCAGACAGGCCCATCCCTGCCTAAATGGAAATGTCAAACAATTTTCAGCATTTCCATATACCCAATTTTTTTGATTTTAGATATGGTAGGAACAGAACGCTGTCACCAGGAGAGAAAATATCCAGACCAGGGGGAATTAAAGTAAGGCTTAAGCAAAGAGTGTGCAGGGTCCTTCCATGAGGGTGCAGGAAGTCACACAGTCCTGAGTATGTGTGTTTGCTACAACAATGGGCAGTGTAATGTCAACCAGCACGGATGATGATGCCCAATGCATAGCCTGGACCTAGGATCCAAGGAATTCATTGGAAGACTAACACGCATACTTGCAGATACCACATACTGTTCCATCAGGGAAGGGGCGTAACTAGAAATCACAGGGCCCCATAGCAAAATTTTGTATGGGGCCCCGTGATTTCTAGTTATACCCCTAGCAGAGCCCACTCGAGATCCCACCTGAGGGTGAACATGCAGAGCCCACCATAGACTCTCTATGGTGGGCTCTGCAGGGTCACCCTCAGACGGGCTGGTCGCACTCCTTACCTGTCCGCCTCCGCCACAGTCGCTGATGGGCCCCGCCTCCTCCCCTGCTGCCTGGGTGGGGGGGGGGGGGGGAGCACCAAAAAGTGCAAAGCCCTGCACCCTATGCTGGTCATTCACGGCTCAGGAAGGGGAATAGGTCTGGCATTTTACCTTGAGGGCTAAAGAACCGTCTCTCAGCACTTCGTGGAGTTTTGCTTGTGCTCAGCTGAAACAGCATTCGAATGACTAAGGCTAGCTCTATCAGCTTTGCGGGGTGGATGACACCTCCATCCGCACTGCAGTATTCCGCTGGCATCCGGGTTCTCTGAATTCTCAAATGACTTTGTGGAGCTGGATGGTGTCAACAGGGCCATCCACAGCTGGAGTTTTAGCTGCTTTGAAATTGCAGCAGTGTATGGCCAACAGTTACAGACCCTCCGCTTGGCACTTACACACCTATTTCATAAAATGAAGAGCAAGGATAATTTGAAGGACACGTGATCTCCCGCTTAACTCTTGCCCACAGCAAATTCAATATATTGCAATGGAAAAATATAATTACAGTATAATAAACATCTTAGACGTAGGATGCCAGTGGGTGCTTCAGCCAAACAAATAGTTTTCCGAGGACTGACTCGTCCCAAAGGCCCCGTTACATTTCACTAAAACATTTGATGAAGCTCCGAGCTTCCGTCCAGCTCTTTGCTTTCTCTTTCTAAGAGCTGACCGATGCCACAAGTCAGGCCCTGTCCAGTGTGAAAGGCTCGGGGTCACAAAGTGCCCACCTGCTAATTCACACAATAGGGAGCTCCATCAATGGCTTTTCTTTCGGAAAGTCATTGAGGGACACGCCAATTAATAGACTGCAGGCCGGCATGTTTTACCGCATTGGACGCTTTATGTGGGAGGTGAAAGGGGGGATGTTAGAGGCAATAAAACCTTAAATGATTAGATCACTTATTAGGACGGCTGTGGGGGGTGAATGGACTCGCTCAATTTGTTCACCATTTGGGCTGTGAATGGTTACAGACGCTCCCTGCTTGCATACAATATGGCCAGGGGAACAATAGGAGCTGCAATAAGGCTTGTTCTCACATAACAGAGAGGAGAAAAGGATTACACCGAAACAGGCCGCATCTTCCAGCCTGGGCCACTTGAGTCCACTTAAGGCGTACGCCTTGCCTAAACATGGACGCTGCCATTTTGCGGAATGACGCATGGAGTGCTCCGATTGGGTTTGGACACACCAGGCAAGGATGTGACGTTTGATTTCCCTACCGATTCCAGCAAATGAAGGAAATGCAAAAGCATAAACAGCAAAGCTTAACTGCTATGTTAATATTTAGAAAGTATACCATAATTAAAGGTTCAATGCCTTTTCCTTAGTAAAACAGGCCTCGGTGGGGGTGTGATAGGGAGGGAAAGACTAAATCAGTCAACTTTTCAGGCAGAGGTGCAGACAGGCCCATCCCTGCCTAAATGGAAATGTCAAACAATTTTCAGCATTTCCATATACCCAATTTTTTTGATTTTAGATATGGTAGGAACAGAACGCTGTCACCAGGAGAGAAAATATCCAGACCAGGGGGAATTAAAGTAAGGCTTAAGCAAAGAGTGTGCAGGGTCCTTCCATGAGGGTGCAGGAAGTCACACAGTCCTGAGTATGTGTGTTTGCTACAACAATGGGCAGTGTAATGTCAACCAGCACGGATGATGATGCCCAATGCATAGCCTGGACCTAGGATCCAAGGAATTCATTGGAAGACTAACACGCATACTTGCAGATACCACATACTGTTCCATCAGGGAAGGGGCGTAACTAGAAATCACAGGGCCCCATAGCAAAATTTTGTATGGGGCCCCGTGATTTCTAGTTATACCCCTAGCAGAGCCCACTCGAGATCCCACCTGAGGGTGAACATGCAGAGCCCACCATAGACTCTCTATGGTGGGCTCTGCAGGGTCACCCTCAGACGGGCTGGTCGCACTCCTTACCTGTCCGCCTCCGCCACAGTCGCTGATGGGCCCCGCCTCCTCCCCTGCTGCCGACCACGGGCCCTGCCTCCTCCGCCACTGCTGGCTCTCATTGACTCTGTGGAGAGGAACGCGCTGCTGCACAGATTACCGTCAGTGATCTGAACAGTGGCGTGTTAGTCTTCAGCCGTCAGTGAAAGCCACCAGCAGAGGATCCCATAGCGACCCAGGCGGCCCACACGGCATCTGGCCGGGCCCCACTGTGTCCCAGGCCCTATAGCGGCCGCCCGGGTCGCTATGGTGATTGTTACGCCACTGCATCAGGGCTACCATGTTTTTAGGGACAGGTGTATTACAAATCTTGTGTGAGCTAAAACAGTGTGCCTCTTTGGTTGGAGTTGTCCTTTAACCTGTCAGCTGACAAGGCTCAAAAAGAAACCTTGCATGGAAAAGTCTATTGTGCAGCAATTAGACTTTTAAAGTACAAATATTTTAATACAGTCTCATAAATGGCACCAACACCTTGTGACTTGTCTCCATTAGAGTGCGAGCAATGCGTAGGAGGGGGCGGGGAAGGAAGAATAATCATTTCACCTTGGAAACTGAATAGAGGCAGAGGAAAATAGAGATGCATGACCACTAATGTATTGGTTTAGGATATTCCCTTATGCTCTGGCACTCAGCCATTAACATTCACAAGTGCTATCCATACAGTACGAGTCCAGCAGCTGCTGCCACAATGGACAGGAGAGACCTGAGAATCGGGCGCCTCTAGCGGCTCGGCTTCACCACATAATAGATACAGACCAGCCGATGTCTGGGTTGCATTCACAGGCCCCAACCCTTACTATACTGGCTCATTCATTCACACAAAGGGCAGTTTACCAACAGCATTTGCCGAGACCTGATTGGTTGCAATGGCACTTGCATATTATCACCACTGCACTTTTCACGGCCTTATTAATGCAGTTGTGTAAACCTTTAAAAATAACTCAATGCGTTTAACATACAGCTATAAGTACATGAGTCTGTCTTCAAATCTGCTTCCTAACGTGCACAGCAGCACCCACACTGGCAAGGGAGGGGAAGCCAATCAAGTTCTACTGCATGCACATGTGCCGACAGGGAACACGGAGCAGAACTGATGACTTGTGTGCCGCTGCTCCGTCACTCTCCAATACAGTAGCCTAGGAGAAGGGAGGAGACACCACTGTACACCACAACTCACACAGAAGGTGGTGTCACCTTCCTTCCTGTGCTGTCTGGTAGAGATGTATGATCACAAATGTCAAATCCTTCAGCAGATAAGACAGCACACGATTTTGAGTGTTTGACGGGAGCTCAGCTTATATCAGTTATTTTACCACAGGGAGGATACGCTATTCATGGCTCTCCTACCAATGAGTGCTCTAAGAGGTAGGCAAACTCTGGCCTTCCAGCTGTGGTGCAACGACAAATCCCATTAGGTATTGCAAGACAGACACAATCATGACTCAGTAGGGCTGCGTTGACCTACTGCTGCTCTAGGTCTTTCCCTGTACACATCCATGTTGATTGTATGTTACCAAGGTAGACCATGCAGGATAGAATGAGTGAAAGGGAGGTGTGTTAGGTTCCAAAGTTGTATGCAGATTATTACCATGAGACACCTTACTCACTCACAGCCTAAACCAAGAGCCACCACAGTTCCCCATATGTCTGAAAGTAGCATAAACCAAAGAACAGAAAGATATTCCGCTGCAGTTTACCAGTCTACTTAGATGTAATTGATGCATTCGTTTTCTATATTCAGGCCTTTATTTTCACCTGGTGAATCTGCCAGTAACACACTTCCTGTCAGAGTGACAATACTCACTTACTCTGCTGCTTCTATGCAGGAGTAACACCGGAGGGGAAGTGCTCTATAGTCCTCAGATAGCTGTGAACAATGTAAATTATAAAAGTGCGGCACAGGCAGAGAGCACAGGAGGTTTTCAGCTCACTGGATTTCTGACCTGATCAGCAGGGTTTATTTGCACTCAAGAACATATAGCGAAAAACTCTCAATGGCAGCGTTAGGGAAGGACATAAGAGATGTTCATTGTTAGGGTTATTCACATAAGGGTGAAGAGTTCGGAGAAGGCCTAGTATCTCTGAGAAAACTACCGTGGAGGTCCTTTCCTTCATCCTAGCACCTAGGCCAGAACCATCTAGGCCAGAATAGCAGATTTGGAAACATTCTCCAATTCAGTGACGTTGTCCTAGATTGTTCACTTTTCCTGCCTTCTCCAAACTCTTCACCCTTTTGTGAATAACCTTGTAGGTTTTTTTCCCCCCTCACAAGGTCTGTCTAACGGAAAACAGCCCCTACATTTTCCACTACTGTCAAAGATCCACAACGCACCTGATAGCCAGAGACCTTGTGATCTAAGTGGTAAGTTACACAAGCAACTTGTTTCTTTTTTTTAAGGGTTATCGCCTAAAAAATATTTGGGAATGCAGATGTGCTTTGTTGATTGTTTGATTACATTTTCAATGATGGCTGCACTTTAACAGGAAGTGCAATGTTTCCAGTGAGGTAGAAGGTACTATGTACAATTCAGGGAGGAACCAATATGGATTCATACGACATTCAAATGACAGAATTTGCGTCACAAGCAGTACATGTAGATTCAGACATTTACAACGTTCCTCGACTATGGGATATACACTTTCTATAAGTGATACCAACATGCAGTTTCTAGTTTTAGGACGATGGCAATGTTTGGTTAAGAGACGGGGATTGTCAACACTAATGGCAACTTAATTGTTCCGGACAAACAAGCAAAGAGTCCCATCAAAGGCGGGCAAGAGGCAAGTTGGCAGGACCAATAGGAGAATAACTGAGTTTCTGGATACACTGGAGCAGACTTTACCTTCCCACAATTATGCCCCAATTGTGATGTTTTTAGACTCAATACTTCATATCTGGCTGTGATTTATGCAAGCTGTTCCTCTTTCTTCGCAGCTTCCCTGAATTTCCAGTCAAGGAACGCGCACTAACAACCTCCATCCACTACAATACATTCATCTGGACTGTCTCATTGTGCCTTGCGCCAACGCGCAGGCATGCACAGTCATTCAGAAAGTTTTGCCTATGTCGGGGACCCTGCTGTCAATCACTTCGCCTGAAGGAGGGGCCAGGGATTGGTCTTTTTTCTTCTCAGGGGCTGCTCATGGCGGTCATTGAGCACAGCGTCTAGGTGTAGCTTGTAGATATACAGTATAATTATGCAGAGCAGATCAGTCTGTCAGCCGTTATGACTGCTAGCCAGAGAACATGTGATCTAGGCTGCCTAATGCCTGGTCACCAAGGAATAGAAATATTTATGGCAAGAAAAAAGTACTTTATCTATAAATATAATTGCTTTAGGTAAAGTGTGAATTTTACAAACAAGTCCACTTTAAAAACCTAGTGTGTCCTTAACAGCCACTCACCTGGAAGTTGCTGTGCAGGCTGCTGCCACGCTTGGTAAGTGCTACCCCAACCCTGCGTTAAAAACGCCTGAGGACCGCTGGAAAAAAAGAGAGGAAGACGACAGTCAGAAACGGCATGGGACTAAGGTAATACTCATCCGCAAACATGCTCTAAATCAAGTATTTAACTTTTATACTCTGCAAGTGATTGAGAATGGTACAAGTAGTGTTTATATACTGCCCAGAACGACTAGAATATGACCCCTTCAGTCAATGTACATGAATAGGTAGCGAAAATACAATCAGATCCTTGTAAGCAAAGCAATCAGAACAGATTATAGGGCATATTGAAAAGGGAATGTGTGCTGCCTGCAAGTGCTCTGGCTTCTTCTCTACCACCCTGGAATACAGGCAGTCACTTCCCACGTGCAACACATAAAATGCAGGACCGGTGTTTGCTGATCACATTTTATTTTTGCAGTGGAAAGTTTTAGAAAACAATAATGCCACATTCCCCCCCAACACACAAAGGGTCACTAAACCTTCCATTTCAAAAAACTGAATCCAAGCCAAAATACCACCTTACACACAAAGCTTCCTTAGTAGTTCATTTCTTTGCTGGCGTTACCCCCTGTGTACCACTTACGGATGCTTTTTTTCCCCTCACTTCCCATCTCTTGGTAAAGCAATGCACGTATAATGTGGCCATATGCACTGCGACCGGAGGGCATGGCGACGGTGCCATTCACTTCAATGGACCGCCATGCCCCCTCCTGACCAACAAAAAAGAATCAGGCCGGAACACACTGCATCTGGTGTGAACGAGGCCTTAGATGACTGGGATAAACTGTCATCAGAATAGACGAGCAAGGAGACTATTGAGAGCTGCCAGCTGTCAAATCCAGGATGGCCGACCGGAGGATCGGTAAATGTGTGCAATATTTACCGATCATCTGTATGCAGCACAAACACTGGAGTTATCGTTCTAATGCTTGTAAACACCTGGGGACACATATTACTATGTGTCCCCAGTTATGAATGAATAGAAGTGCTTTACATAACTTCATGTTCTTTCATTAGTTTCTGAATGGGTAGAAGCAGCTCAGTACAGAGGCTTCTAACCATTTATAACTGGAGATGGTAAATATTTACTATCTCCAGTTTGTGAATGAATGAGAAGCCTCTGTACTGAGTTGCTTTGCATTCATTCAGTGGAGGCTGCAGAAAAAGAGATCCCTGTTATTTTACCAAAGCCTGCATCCCCCCCCTCACGAATCATCATCAGAGCAGTGAGCATATTTACTTTTCTATTTTGCAACACTGTTTATCTGCCAAAGGCAATCATCGGCACCAGTCTATGGCATCAACAGCATTTCTGTGGCTACTTGCAACACAGTAAGCCCTCGTTCACACCTGAACGTTTTGTAGCGCGTTCTACGCTCGAAGAACGCTCTACAAAACGCTCAAAAATATAAATTGCATTGGAGTCAATGGACTCGTTCCCACCTTGCCGTATTTCCGCCCGTCCCGAACGCGCTACAAAACGGCCCACGCCTGAAAAGGTACAGGCACTACTTTGGGCCGTTTTGTAGGGCGTTTTCCATTGGAATACAGCCAAGTAGCCTTTGGAATCGCGCGACGGTCGCGCGTTTTTTTTACCGCAAATCGCGGTAAAGAAACCGCGCGACAGACACGCTTTTGCAATACGCCTAGGTGTGAACCCAGGATAATACCGGTATTGTCAGAAATATCAGCGCTATTCATACTAGTGATCATTTCAACTGAAAGTGAGCCAAGTGCCAGCAATGGTATTTATATTCTTAAAGGAGAACTATGAGGCGAGTGCTTTTTACCTTAACCCCATAGTTCTCCTTTAAGAACATTCAACCTGAAGATACAATACCCCAAGAACATTCAATATTGCCCTTTTCTCACAACTGGTTAACCTGCACAGAATGAATGCACATGAAGTTTGGCTTGACGAATAGATATGCAAAGGCATTATTTTTTTTTTGTGTAATAAATAGACCCCTAAGTGTATAATGATACTGCACAAATATGAATGAAAGCAGGCCCTTAAGGTAGGGATCATGCAAAACTCACTTTTGATGAGGTGTTGCGTGCGGCTGGCTGAATGGACTTTGCCCGTAGCTGCTTGGACCGCTGATTGCTGTGCCCTGGAGGATGAACACAGGCATGTTACTGATAACAGCACAAGAAATCCTTGAGCAAAAGATCCTTTCTGAGCTAGAAGTCATTGTAGCTGGTTGAATGCAGCTAAGTAGTAACACAATGGATTTTGTCCTTCAACATCATCAGCTCTCCTCAGACAGAAAATCTGAACATGCACTTTAAAAAGGGCTTCTATCAAGATGCAAAGTACCTGGTAAGAAGCATCAGGCACAAGCGGCCCTTGCTGGACTTCAGAGGGGTACGCTAGAGAACGACATAATATGTAAACGTTTTCTGCTCCAATGCAGAGGCAATGCACTACCCAGAAACTAGTATGCAGCATCAGAGTGACAGAAAGGCTTTCATCTAAGTCTTCTCACACATTTTTGAAAAATAAAAGTCCCTTTTCTGCCTATTTTCCCCAGGTTAGTGACTTACAGTACAGAAGCACAAGGGTCAGTTTGACAGCCAGGCCTGACACTTGCCAAGTCAGAGATTGCCATTAAACAGGGACCATGAGCCATGGGGGGGTTGTCGTCAGACCCCTGCAGAGAGACCACTCAGATAAAAACTGTCCTGCTCTACAGCATGCTGGCAGGGGACAGGTTTTTCTACACAGGATGTAGAAAGGCAACTGTAAAACACTGCATACGTTTGTTTTGACAGATTTGAAATATATTTGGAAGATTTAAACTGAAAGTACTGCTGGGACTTAAATGCTCTCCCCATGCAGGGCTAAGTCATCACCTGAACCTCTGCAACTTTCATCCGTTTAGAGACTTACCCCGACTTTCTCATCAATGAGATGCCTGGCCATCTCAATTTGCTGCGGGATGCCCCGGATGGTGAATATCCGGATGCTTGGGTCTGTATTGGGTGGGGGGTTCCTTTGAAGCTCCACATGGGCCCCCGATTGCTGGTTTATACTTTTGATATTTTCACCTCCTGTGAGAAAAAGGAGGACAAACTATTAAAAGATGAATGTTAACTATATTTTATCTTTCAGTGCACCAAGATATCCTATTAAAAGACAGAGAAGTGTATAAAGTCCCAGGAAAGTCATGCATAAAAACTAGATTTTGAATCAACCATACAAATGTTTTCATTTCATTCAAACAAAACTGCTGTTAATACATAAAAAACAAAAACATGAAGGTGGATCAACCCAAATTCAACTACAATGGCATGCAGTACTGTGAGCAATGTAATATATTCAATGCTATGTTTTCAGATGTAATATAATTTTAGTATTAATCTCACTCAGATGTAAAGCTGCAGAGGAAGGCATACAGAACTACAGTGCATTTTTCAGAGAATATGAATGATAACACAAAAACCTTTGGCATTCATGGGTAGTGTTTGGCTGAAGCCATTTATTATCAATCAACTGTGTTTACTCTTTTTCCAAACTACGCAAATGACCCTGATCAAAAGTTTACATACTCTCCAGCTACAGAAGCCGATTTCTGCTTCATCAGCTTCTCTGGGGGTCCCTAGGTGACATTAGGGGTCTTGGAGACCTCTAATGTCTCCATAAAGAGGACCTGTCATGTAAATTGGCTATCACATAGGGGACTTCTTAGCAATAAAGCGAAGATTCTTATAAAGCTTAGATGTAATAGCAATAAAGCTGTGTGTAAAAAAAAAAAAAAAGTAATCCTAAAAATTAAAAGAATCAAAAAAAAATTAAAAAAAAACATTTTTTTTTAAAAGTCCCCGACCCCCACATACACACGCAGATATGCATCGGGTGCGCCTACGTGCGGAAACGACGATTGCGCCTATTGTGCCGCACATGTGAGAGCAATAATTTTAGATCCTTTAATCACTGATAATACTAAACTGATGAGCAGTAAAAGCGTTTTAATCGTCGCCTACGGGCGTTTCTTGCGATTTTGCGGGCGCAAGCAATTTCAAGGCTTGACATGTTTGGTGTCTATTTACCCGCCGTGACCCCGAATTATGTTTTACTAAAAATACGGGTAAGAATAAATGTTTTATAACATAACGTAGGGAAACTTTGTTTTTTACATTTACGGTACTTTTTTCATTATATAGTAAAAAAAAATAACCCCCCCCCCCCGTGGTGATTATATACTTCCAAAAGAAAGCTCCATCTGTCCCCAAAAAATGTTTCGCAAGGGTAGAGACCGGTCATGCTGGCTGGTGAGAGACCATCACATTTTTCAAGATAGAGAAATACATACATACATACATACATACATACACGACAAAAAATAGGAGAGAATTGTTTTCTTTTTGTCTTTGCCTGCAGTTCTGCTTCATTGTTGTATAGAGGAGGTTCTATAGATAGAAGGAATACTTCTTCAATAATGGTGCCATGAGCATGAAAGAAACACTGTTACACATGAAAACTAATCAGGGTTTCCTTCCTATATTTCAACTACATGAAAGGAACCATATGAATTAACAGTCTAGGCTACATGGGCAGTTCCATCAGATACTTTTACACTAAACCCAGAATTGGCTGCCTCTATGGGATACAGCTCACAAAGAATGTATGACCTCTAGACTTTCACAAAGGCATCTGTACACCACAATGCCAAACAGGCTGCAAGACATAGCATATGGTTGAAGCAAACTACAGATGTGTGAACGAGGTACGGGTAATCGATCAAAGCATAATCTTTCTATCCCATGCTCTCTGGAAACAGGCGGAAAAAGAAGTACTTTATTAAAATGTGATACAATATAGGAAACAGCAGGGGGCACACTGTAAGCAAACTATGATTAGCAAAATGTTCTACTGTGCGTCTGACCATTGAGAGAAGCAGAGTCCCCTGACTTATTGTCTGTAGTAGGGACCCCGGTCAAAAAGTCAGGGGACTCTCCTTCACTTTGTGGAGCAAAGGAGGATTCTAGTCATGAGGTAAATCCTATAATGATTAGATAACAGAATTACAGATTGCAGGCATTAGTACCTTTAGCAAGGTGTCAGGAACTCACAAAACCCAGACAGCTGATAGCTAGTGATAGTCGGATGGCCACTGGCTCTCTAGGTGGGCAAAGCAAGCAGACCGAAGTTTCATCTATGCAAAGCAGGTGCAGCAGCGGGGAGACGCTTCCTTGATGCTGAATGATGAGAAAGAGTGTAGAGTGCGCCTGACACACCACCCAAAAGATGTCAGCGCTCAGTCCCTCACGCTTTAACCCTTTCCGTGGTAAATGCAGTCAGAAAGTAGAAATATAACCGCATCCAGCATTCTTAACCAGGCAGCTCTTGGTGATCTGCCTACTTACAGAGTGAGTTTCAGGCACAGGGCAAGCGCTGAGGCAATACCAACAGCTCTAGACTTGGAAAGCTCTGTGTGGGTAACATTACTAGAATGGGGCCTGGAAAGCCCATTACAAGGAACCCAATTGCCTGGAGGTCACTTTCAGACTAGCTCCACAACATCCAGTTCAGCAGGGTCTGGTTGTGCAAATCCAAAAAATAAGCTAAAGATAAGACGTACCAGACAGCTGCAATTTTATAGACTAGGTCTAGCAGTGATGTAGAGAAGACTCGATTGCAGAGAAAATGTAATAAAAAATGCTAGCAAAAAAAAAAGACTTCCCAGAAGAGCTGGAAAACCCCCCCCCAAAAAAACAACATTTATCCACCTAGGCTACTAGCAAAAAAACTGATGCATGCTTGTAGAAGGAACAGTAATCTTGGACTAGACTACAGTTTTTGTTTTGTTTTCCAGTGTCCAATTTTTCTGTAGGCAGCAATATTTCCCGAAGGAAGACATCCTGTGTTCCTCAATGGATGATAAACTTTTTTTGGGAATCCCTTGGTTTTCAAGCAAGACAATGCAGGTTCTAACTAGACACTTAAAACAAAATCAACCCAAAAATTTCACAGGAAGACCAAAATAATACATTTTTTAACAACATTATATTTGTATAGCGGTTTATCGGTATCCAACTAAGCACAGCCACAGCATTTTTCCAAATTAGCCCATAATGGCAGCTCTATCAGCTCAGCAACAGGAGAAAAAAAATTGATTTTCACTTGTTGAGTAAGCGTGATAATTGCTGCAGTAATTAGCTTTAAAAAAAAAAAATGAAGCTGGTCCAGTGCCAGAAATTTCAGGCTAGTGATGAAGAAAGCTGAAAGGCCCATGGTTTCGGACTGAATGTGGTCAGTACTGACACACTCAACACAAAAAAGGCAAATGATACGTAACAGGACAGAAAAAAAACAACCAGATTTCACCAATTGTAGAGCGATGTACGAAGGTATAAAGATTTTAAATCTTTAGGCTGCCCATAGAAAGGCAAATATCAACTGAGTATGAGGGGCCCATCCTGCAATGATTTGGCGCAGTACCCAGCTACATACACAGTATTGGGTCCTTACCATTCTTCTGTAGAAGAAATGGGTCAGGCTCCACTCACACCAACATTTTCAGTGGTGGTCAGTGAGCACTCATATACCGACTCTTAGGTACTTCAGAAACGGCCGAATAAACATGCAAACAATAGTTCAATCATGAGCATACAATTATAAGACCGTTTGAATCTGAAAATTGCATATTTAAACTATATAATGTTCTAATTCTTGCCTAACTCACGTTTTCATTACCCAATTGTTTTGTTGTTTCCTTCTGTTTGTGGACATTGGAAGCTTGAGCCTGGCATGCCCTAAATTATGACCATAGCTTCCCAGAGATGTTTAACATTAGTTAGTCGTCAGTCCCATATCGGGCCGCTCCCGGGAAGGACAGGTGCCGCGTGTGATTTGTACGCAGCAGCCTGTTCTTCTCTATGGTCGTACGCCGCCCTACGCTCACCTGACCTGCATGTCTGTACTGGTGCGGGTGTCCATGCTCGGACGCAGACAGGATCCATCCCGTTAGCGTACGTGTATGGACACCCGCGCCGACGTGCAGGTTAGGTGAGCGCACGGCGGCGCATCCGGCGTGAGAAGGACAGGCTGCTGCATGTAATCACAGGCAGCACCTGTCCTTCCCGGGAGCTGCCCAATACGGCCATGCACGCAGCACGGATCTGTGCGGGCCGGCCGTTACCCGTGTGAATGAGGGCTTAAGCCTCAGAACAGCTCTTTTCTCAAATCTGATTCGATAGCAAGAAAAAAAAAAACCCACCAAAAAACCCCAATGAAATAAGGAAATGTCTAGCTTTACTCCTATAGGATTTCTAAATGAGTCTAAAGGAACATTTGGACAGCACAACATTTCTAATTCCTCTGACAAGGGTTATTTCTAGATCCAGCACATACATAAAAGGACAAACATCAGAACACAAAAGGTCAGCAATGTATGTCTAAATTCCAAAAAGGACTGCGGCTGTTCAAAAGTCAAAGACAGTTTCCAATATTTTGAGGACTCCATGCATAAAAAGTATAATTATTTTAACACCTCCACTACACTGCTCACTCAGCCTCCTGTGACAGCGTGTCAGAGAGGAGAGCCAGGTACAAACACTCAGCGATCAGTGATGGCTGAGTGTTTGTAGATCATTGAGGATATGGTATGTGTACTATATCGTCAATTATGAATGAATGGGAGTGAGCTACATCCCCCATGCACCATGTACTATAGACAAATGCAAGTTCAAACAGAATAATGCACATCTTGGCAGTACACATGGAAGCCATATAGTTTTGTTAGTCCACCAAGGAGGAGTTTTGCTTCAACACCCACCCCCCTAGAAAAAAACATCTTAATAAACCCCCATATTGAACCATATAAATGCACACAATAGGTTGGACTTGATGGACCCGTGTCTTTATTCAACCTCAAATACTATGTAACTATGTAATTTAAGAGCACAGCACAGGAGAGGCTGAAGAGTAAAAGTAACGGTTTCTAATATATAGATATAATTACAAATGATAGTGAGAAACAGAGCATTTCCACATTTTCTCTGGACGCCCGTGAGGTACAATATCCCCACCATTAGATAGTAATGATTAG